CACATTGTAAAATAAAAGAAACTGAGTTAGTATAAGGTAAACATAGTGCATACTAGGTAAACTGTTAATTTACTTTAAAATGGTGTGTATGGGAGGGTGGCAGGTGATACATTGAGAACCAACACGTCACCTATGTGATAGTCCTGCAAAAAAGGTCTAACTAAATCTAATCACACAGAAACAACCAGATAAATCCCAACTGAAGCCTGCAAACAGGACTAGTCTGGATATTCCAAAATGTCAGTCATGAAAGGGGAAGAAAAGGACAAGGAACTGCTCCTGATGTAAGGAATTACAGACAAGGCAACTAAATGCAGCCCCGGATTAAGGCACTGAGGCTTAAATTCATATTTAACATATTTAAAAACACGTTGTTGGAACAACGGGGAACATCTGAATATGGAACCTAATAGACAGTAACAAAGTTAACTTCCTTGTGCGTGGTGATAATTTTTTGTTGTTACCTAGAATGCCCTTGTTTCTGGGACATAAAAGTTGTTTAGTGGTGACATGGCACGAAAAACTAATTTGGCAAATAATTATACTTGGTAAATCTAGATAGAGGCACAGTACAGGTGTTCATTGTTCCATTCTTGGTTCTTTGCTTAGGGTTAAATTTTTTAAATTGCAAATGCGAGGACATTTTTTCGATTTTGAGTGAGAGATGTATCATAAGTCAGTATGAGCAGAATGCATACAGCACATACCTACTTTAGTCTTTGCAATCATGGGCGAGACTTTTGAGGCTGTTATAAACACAACTGTAAAAGACTTTAACTCATACTTGCAGACTGACGTCAGATGCCAAAATTCACAAGAGATTACAGAACAGCACTCGGATTTTTTCATGACATTTATATTTAAATTTCCAGAAGGTTGTTACACATTTAAAGATAAGCTTAGTTGGTGATTCATTTATTCTATCAACTGACTTACCATATAGCTGCTGGGGTAAGCTAGAAAGAAACCTATCAATATAAATTTGCTGGCCTACAAACCATTTCACAAGAAAGCAGCAGAAAAACTTAACCAAATCAAATGACTGTTTTCCAGACAGAGGTTGATGAATTGCAGGAGCAGGGTCCACACTCCCTAAGGGACACCAAATGCCCTGGTTTATGCCTGTTTTTCCTCACCTTTTCTTATTCAGCATTTGTCCCAGGCAGGCAAAAGCACCTCCAATACAAATGTCTCGGTTTAGATACTACATCATGCAGTACTACAGTGTGACCAACTTCTCTTATATGATGGTATTTAATGTTGGTTTAGAAGAACAAACAGCATAACCTGAAGATGTCACTTGTGCTTTAGACAATATGACCTACATTGTGGTAAATTCCTTACTGGAATAGGCACAAAATATAGAGAAAAATTGTTCTAACGTTTTTAGAAAGGAGAAACCAAAGCTATCTTTTCCTCTACTGTGTAATGTAGAATACAACACTGCACAGGTGTAGGGACAGTGGGAGTCAAAAGGCCTGTCACTTGTTAACGGAACAGAATCTTGACTAAGTTATTGGCTCTGTCTCAACCACAGCTTTCCCTTGTGTAAAATGATCAGAATGCTGACTGGTCTCTACTTAATGTCACGGTCCAGCTCTAAATACTCAGTAATTCCATGGTTTTGTCCTCCAAAATGTTTTTTTTAATTAAATCAGTTGAGTTAGACTTTTTTATAACTAGAAATTATCTTCCTTCCCCAAACTCCTATTTCTGTTCTGACCTCTATTCTGTTCGGAGGCTGAGTGACTCCCATTCACCCAGGATGAAGGGCCACTTAGACTCCTCTCACAACTCATCCCTGGTTCCACTTCCTCAGTGACTTTTTCTGTCTCACCTTTTCTATCAACCACTTCAATTCAGGTCTGCATCACCTTTTGCCTAGATCACTAGTTATCATTGTATCATCTTGCTACTTTGCCGAAAAACATATAATAGATCCTCAATCTGATATTCAAGAACCTCTCCATCTGCCCCACATTTTTATGCCAACTGAACTACTCACTGCCATTTCAAAATTCCCTGTACTTTCTGGATTGAATGCCTTTACCCCTGCTGTTCTTACACTGCCCTTTTCTCTGCTTTTCAAAATCGATTCCATTATTTAAAGCTCAGTTCCAATGACACTGACATTACACCTAACCGTTACAGTTCCCTCTTTTCAGTGTCCATGATACTAACATAAAGAGACAATTTTACTGGCCAACAGAGGAGAAAGATAGCTTACCTAGGGTGGTAAACTAAAATTACCTCCTGAGCCAATTTTGTTGACTTGTTTCTCTGGCACAGGGTCCTGAGAACTTGTAACTTAGCAGAGGAAAAGGAGAATTTCTGGCAATACGAATCTGACATTTCAGATGCCAGAAGCCAGGGGTCCACACAATGGGATCTACACTCCCATGGTATTAAAAGATGTTTAAATTAATGGAAATTAATTTAACATTTAAAGATTTAACATTAACATGGTTATCTTCAGAAAAAATGCAAAGCTCTAGAACAGTGGTTTCCAACTGGGACAATTTGCCCCCCTCCCCCAAGGGGGGTTCTGGCAGTACATGAAGACATTTCTGATCGTCACAATTGCATGGAGAGTGTTACTGGCAGATACTAAACAGTCTACAATGCATAGGGCAGACATTACAATAATAAATGATCTGATCCAAAACATCAACAGCGCCCAGGTGGAGAAACTTCGATCTAGAAGAATTGCATGTATTTGTGGTTTCTGCCTCCCCAAGATATTCAAATATTTCAAGATGAAAAAGCATGTCTCTAATCAGAGACAGTACAGTCTGAAGCCAGACAGCTCCTCCAATTTCCAGTAGCATGACCCCCTGAAAGTTACTTAACCTTTTTATGCCTCTAAGTCTTCATCTATAAAACAGGGATAATAAGAGCACCTACCTCACACAATGTCCCAAGAATCAGATGAGTCCATTTAAAGTCCTTGGGAAAGTGAACCGGGCAGGTGTAAACATTCAATAAATTTAGCTACTTTCATTCCTCTCCTCCCTAGGGCCTAGTCTTGCATTTGGAACATAGAAGATGCTCAAGAAATGTTTGACTAGTGCCTGGTCTTCCTGGGGAGGGCACAAATAGGTAAAGATAGATAAATGCCCTTTATTTGGGAAAAAGGAAGCAAGAGCTAAAGGTGAAAGGAAGCATTTGCCCACCTACTCACATCTCTCCCTCCACAGAACACTTTCCCCCTCTAGGAAATGTGCCCCCCGTCATGGTCCTGAGGACACACTATCCTATAACCTTCCTATTTTCCTTTTCGTCCCTTCTGACCAACTGACGATGCTCATTCATAATGAGATGGTGTCCTGTTTGGACCCCTACCATCATCTATCTACCCTGTATTACTTACTTATGGACTTACTGTAGTCCTCCTGGTAGACTGTACAGCTTTCCATGGCTAGGGGACAACACTCGACTCCTTTTTCTATAACCCACGGGCCTACAGACCGCAGCAACTGTCAGACCCAAGCATGTCGTTTTGTACGTGAGGCACAGAGAGGCTAAGTGAACTGCCAAGAGTCAAGGTCATATTTTAGTGGTAGAGTTAGGATTCAAACTCGATACTTAGCTGATACAGAGAATCCAAGTTCTAGCTAACTGACTGTAATCACATATGAAAACTGTATCTGTGGTAGAGACCACTTTTTAATTAAGTCCCAGAAAACCTCTACAGGAATTATACAGATGGTTACCTGACAGAGCAAAAATGGAGGGAGAAATAGACCCCAACTCCAAGCTCCTTCCTGCTGCTGAAATTCCACCTTAAAAACTCCACCTGTTTTGTATCTTTAACATTTCCTTAATAGCTTTTGACAACAAAACTTATTTAAATGTCCAAGAACAGTTAAGTCAGTGATGTCAGGCTTCATTTCCTTTAAATGGATCCACAATTATTTTAAGTAACAGAAAATCTCTTATTGGTAGTCACTGACGCCCACCCTTCACCAACTGAACAGAGTCTTGAATGATCACTCTAACAGATTATCTCAAAAACGCCAAAGACCAGCAATCTGAAACGATTCTCTATGGCAAAACACAGCCAGGCCATTGGCATCGTGTGTTAATGTCACCATAAACCTAAACCTGACAATCATCAAGCACAGACTACACGAAGATCTGAGCAGGAGAAATGTTATTTTATTCTGTTCAAGTGAAACAACGCTGTTCACTTACTAGGCTAATCTAGAAGTTTCCCTGAGTGTCCCAAATGATGCAAAGGAAAGCAGCGAACAGGAAAGGAAAAGTCGGTAAGACCGAACAGTGAAAAGGAGCTAAGCATGGGGCACTGACTGCTTTGACGCTTAAGCAATTACAGCTCAATAAAAGTAAACAATTCCATAAACTTGATGCCATAAAGGCATCATTTAAGAAACAAAAACAAAACAAAACAAAAAAACACACTCCCTCCGTGGTGATGATTTCAGCTACCAGTGCAAAAGCACTCAAGCCCGGTAAGAATGATAACCACGACTCAGGGACATATTTTAAATTAATTTACCAGCCTATGAAAGAGCGGAGGCACGACCCGTAGCTTCCAAAGAAAACAAAACGCAGTTTCTGCTCAGTGAAGTTCAAGGGCAAAACCGTTCCCGGTGCAACAGAACCCTCCTGACTACAGTGCTGGGGGGCGGGGGGGCGAACACACAGTATCTTTCTATGAAGGCAACAATTTGAGTTACAAAGTAATAACGGGGAAGCCAAAACAGTTTGACAGCACGCCCTCGGGGCGGCCTCCGCCGTGAGTCACACAATGCCTGCACCGCTCGCCACGGTCATTAACGCACAAGTCCCTCATTCCAGGCTCCGGGGGGAGGGCGCCTTCGCCAAGTTTACGGGGCTTGCTCCGCGCCGGCCCCCCATCAAGGCCCACACGCGCCATGACGCGGCGCCCGCAGCCCCGCGGCGGCCCCCTCCCGGTGTGCGCCCTGCGAGCGGGGAAAATGACACAGGGAACCTGCGGCGGCCGGCGCGCGCCTCACCTGCTAAGACTCCTCTCCACGTCTTTGGTCGC